GTAAACTAACACAATGTTCGAATTTGGGGCCTACAGAACCAACATGCAGCCATTGAACATGTACAAGATTCGCCAAAAATGAATGTGTTTTATGCAATATCCCGAGTATCTGTTTCCAGCCCATTCTTCTTTGATGGAAACTCGGTTAACGGTCAGCAGTATCTCAATATGTAATAAAACCGGTTGTTTCCAAGGCTGCACGAAGACAACTTCATTTTTCAACAAGATGGCCCCCCCCCACTGGTGTCGCCAAGTGCATGATTATCTGAATGAAACTCTACCGAACTGTTGGATTGGTCGTCAAGGAGCTGCCGACTTCGCATGTTTCAGCTGGCCTCCATGATCACTGAATTTGACACCCTGTGACTTCTTCCTGTGGGGTTTCATTAAGAGGTTAACACACATGGCTACAGTCCCTGCTAGACGGGACTTTTCTGAGAAACAAGATTCTGGTAGCACTGGTTTAAACGGGAGGATTCCTAGAAAAAGGAGCTCCCGCTTGAAGCAAAGTCCTGCCTACCTACGGAAGCAATGTTGTGGCTACGCGGGATTTTTTCAAACCTCTTCGAAAATGTCTCAGGTCCCGGGTAGAGACAACCAATCAGACGAAAGTTCTGCTTCTGAAGGATCAAGTGATCCAGATTTGAGTGATAATCTATTACTGTTTGGCGTTCAAGTCTTTGTAGTTAGTGAGAATGGTAACCTAGCTACGTGGGTTCCTGGAATTATGTGGTTCTTAGAATTGTCCCTTTCGATGTCAAGTCCCACGTAGCCAAAACATAATGTGATTGGGATCTTAAAGACAATGTTCATGTACCACCACTCCCGCAGAACTGGAAGAGGTGAAGAACCGGATTTGTACTGCCATAACATCAGTGACGACGGACATGCTTGGCCATGTATGGGAAGAATTTGAGTATCAATGTGATATTATTCGTGTCACTGATGGACGACATTTTGAGCATCTGTAATCTGAACCTGAGAGCTTCGTACATACAGATAAAGGACAAAATAATAGGAACACCTGTGAAATAATGGAAAATCTTTATTAATAGGGGGTTGGACCAAACTTTGACTGAAGTACAGATTGAATGCGACGTGGGATAGATGCATAAAGGTCATAGACAATATTTAAAGGAATATTAAGCCATTCCTCCTGCAGAGCGGTCTCTAATTCCGAAAGTCCAGATGGAGGTGGAAATCGTGAACGAAGTTTGGATTCCAAATATGTCCATAAATCTTCAATAATATTCAAGTCCGGAGATTGAGGGGGCCAAGCGAGATGTTCAGTTGCATCGTCATGCTCTTCGAACCATTCCTGAATACACATAGCAGTGTGGATAGGGGCATTGTCGTCTTGAAAAAGTGGTCGCTCTCCAGAGAATACAGTCTGGACAAAAGGATAGACATGATCTCCTGGAATTCTGCATGGGAGGATCACATAGTGATTGGATGTGATCCTCCCATGCAGAATAACAAGTGGCCCAAGACCGCGCCAAGGTATCGCATCCCATACCATAATAGTGCCACCCCCATGCTTCACAGTCGATAAGAGGCAGTCAAGATGAAACGCTTCTTTGGACATTCTCCAGACGTTAACGCGTCTGGTCATCTGAAATGGGGGAATGACGATTCATCTAACCATATTTGCCTGTTGCCACTGCTGTGGGGGCCAGCCTTTGTGATCTCTGCACCACTGGTGTCGCTTGAAAGCATTAGTTGCTGTCACCAAGGGTTTACGCATTGCCACTCTCATAAATGTTCGCAGCATGAAGTTCCCTTTTGACAGTTTTTGTTGAAATGGGGTCCTGGAGATGACTGTTCATTTCGGATGTTATCTCAGATAACAATTGCTTGTGCTTTCGGGCTACTATGCATTTCTAGACTCGTCTATCCCTATCAGCCAGCTTTGACTTGCGGCCACTGTTGTGCTTTGAAGACATCGTCTTGCCCTCTTTCGTGTACGCTGTCATAACGGCTGATACCATACTCCTTGCACACGCCACAAGGTTTGCTGTTTCTGTAACCGATGCTTCACTTAAACACGCTCCAAGTATCATTCCTTTTTGGAACTCTGATAGGTCTGACATTTCCTCACAGACAGTTGAATAGAAGCAAGCAACACAGGTTACTGCTGTTGAGAGACTGATACCTTCCTCTTCCTGCTCACTAGGTGGCAGACTTCTGTTGCAGGTGGTGTGGCTGTACTGCAGGTGTGAAATACATCATACTTTTTCACAGGTGTTCACATTATTTTGTTCTCCATCTGTATGTGTCTAAAGTTTCATATTCGTATGTCATACAGTTTATTAAATATATGCATTTGAAATACGTATATTTTTTTGAAACACGCTGTATTATATTTCTATTGTATTTTTCTTTTCTCCAAAAGTTGTAACAGTTCTTTACTTATCAAGAAGTGAGAATGATGCTACATCACTCTTTTAAAAAAGAAGCATTTTACCTCTGAATATGTGAAAATGGCTCTGTTGCTATTTGGGCATAATGGTAAAGAAATACCACTGCTAAGACTGCTGGTCATTTAAGGATGGTTAATGATATATGTTGGTACCGCTTAAATAGTATAGGCACTAATAATAATGAAATACTATCTTACTTAATACTTTTAATTTGCTCTTCTGAGATTTCTGTATTGTTCTCAAGTTCTGCCAGCCATTAGTACCTAGTAAATTTAATAGAACATGAAGTTTTTGCATCACATCCAGTACAACAATAATAGGTTTTAATAGCTGCAATGAATGTTTTACTTCTTTAATAGTCATGGCATTTTTATCACATTCTGATTGTCGTGTATGTTATATGGGTAACTTATTATGAATGACTCAAGCAGTAGGTGTGGTTTCACAGTATACATATATCTTTTAAAGCAGATTTTCAAATTTGTGATGATTATTAAATGGATAACACTTGTTTCTTAACAAATTAAGGTAATAAGCTGATTGCTTATATTTATAAGAACCAAACAACTCTTTTCATGAGCCATCTGTGTCATTTTTCCTGTGTTATAAGAGCTTTCGCTTTATAGCTATAGGTTTTTACAACTTCTGTTATTACTGCCATTAATCTGTTTTTCAGACCTGGTATTTATGGAATTAAAGGACATATGTACATTCGATACTAGGATGAATGATATTATGAACAATGGGGTTAATGTAAATATTCAGTCATATTGAATCACTATGTAACCATTTTACCATTGATGGTCTTCAATCTCTAACTTCATTTCAGCATATATGTTTACTCAGTCTTGTGTGCAGTGATTCCATCCTATTTCATTTTCTCTACTTGTAAAGCTGTAACTATCAAGTGTCTATAGATTTTATATGTTATATCCAGCCAGTTGTTTCCTTTTAAGGAATATGCAACTTCATCTGTACTGATTATATGTATAGAAAATAGATGATATGATAAAAATAGATGCATATCTGCTAGAAAATGGACAATTTCAACTGTAAAAAAATTTTGCTGTTTACCGTATGAAATAGTACCTATTTATGAAATAGTACCTAATATTTTCGTGTTTTGGAGTTTCCATGTTTTAATAACAAAAATTCTCTCATACAGACTTAATGTTTGAAGATTTGTTTTCAGTTTCTTTTCTTCCATCCTATTTCATTTTCTCTACTTGTAAAGCTGTATTGTTGTAAATTATTAGATAATTCCTATAATTTCTATGTCACAGAGTAAGCCTGTTTCTTGTTTATTTTTACTGGTGCAGTTTTTGTGTGATGCTTTTTCATTCTGAAAGATTCAGCATTAAGAATATTTTTGCAGTTATATATTCTACAACCTTCTTATTAACCTAAAACCTCCCAACTCAGCCTGTTAGTTGCTGAAAATAAGTGCAATTACATTAGCAACAAAATTCATTCAAACTTCTTGTTTGATAAACTTAATCATTAAACATAAAATTACTACTGATGATTAGTATAAATTGAACTGATGTTTAGTATAAATTGAGCTGATGATTAGTGTAAATTGAACTGAAGATTAGTATAAATGATTTTTATTTGTTCGTAGATTTATTTATTTTATTGCTTTTGTTTCTTTGTTAAGAGGTTATCACATATGGCTGCAGTCCCTGCTAGACTGGACTTTCCTGAGAAACGAAATTCTGGTAGCACTGGTTTAAATGGGAGGATTTCTAGAAAGAAGATCCTCGCTGGAAAGCGAAATCCCGTCTAGCTACGGAAATAATATTGCGGCTACGCGGGATTTTTTCAAACCTTGTGGAAAATTTCTCGGGTCCCGGGTAGAGACAACCAGTCAGACAAAAGTTCTGTTTCTGAAGGATCACGTGATCCCAATTTGAGCGATAATCGATTACTGTTTGGTGTTCAAGTCTTTGTAGTAAGTGGGAATGGTAACCTAGCTACTTTTTTTTCCCCAGAATTCTGCGGCTTCTGAGAATTGTCCCTTTCGACGTCAAATCCCACGTAGCCGAAACGTAATGTGATTAGGACCTTAGCTAAGCATGTTGTCTGCTTAAAGGGGGAGATGCATTTTATATTTTATTGAAGATTAATTTAAAAAGAACATAGTTTTTTCCCCCTTCATTAATACAATAATTTAGCAAAATTGAGTGTATTTTATATATTTCAGTTATTGGAATTACATGCTGATAAAAACAATAATTCTTCTTATAGATGTGTATTAATTCAGTTATATGTTTGATGTACTAAAATCAATTTAATGAATTAGTAATTATGACTATTTAATAAAATATTTTAAATCCTTTTATCACTTTCTGGTAGTTTTCATTTTCTTCTGATTTTAATTGATTCTAACTAATTTTTGCCATCTGCAGAGCGAGCAAAATTTATTTTTTGCTGGCTTAGAACCTACCCAGGTATTTACAGTATCTATACGCATATGGATCTGGGGCTGCATATTTGCTGTGTGCTTGGATGACACTGTATAAGGTGCTGATATTTTGTAGGTTTTTTTTATATAATCATTTATAAAACATTTTTTTCCAGATGTTGATGAACAAGCATATTGGATTGTTAATGAAGATGATATTGAAGAAATACCTTTGAATGATGATTCAATTCTTACTTTTGAATGCCACAGAGGTATGCTTTTCCATGTTTTGAAATTTACAATACTTTGCTATTTTGCTTATATATTTTTTTCACTCATACAAGCAAAAAGTGGTTATTTATTCGTCCAAAATATAAATTGTCTTGATTTTGATATTCTTAACTGTTTATATATTGAAAAACATTTATTGAAACATTTATGGTGGAAGCACTTTTTTAATATGATGGAAAATTATGATATATTTTCCTGTAGATATGACAGTTTTTCATTCAAATTATTTGGAATTTTTTTTATCTGTGTAATTTATATATCAATATACTTTTAGTAACTTTATCCTTCATATAGTATTGTGACTAGTGTTTTTACAAAGTAAGTGTTATATATTAAAATCAGAGTCATCTGAATTATTTACTGTGTTCATTACTTTGTAAATTTTAGAGTTTAGTTAACAGTTTAAATAGTTTAGAGTTTAGTTAGTATATCATATTGGGTCATATAAAAAGTTTCCACACTTTTTTGCCACTAGATGGTGTTGATGCCTATGTATCCAGCAATACTCACCCGATTGTTTCAAACGAACATGCGCTTAAAAGGTGACATTCAGCTTCCGTTGTTTGTGAAAGTAGTTTTCTAATTCGTTGCTTGTGTAAAAAATTATACTGTTTTGAAAATGAGTGAAATATCTGAAGAAATACATTATGGGATGTTTTTTTACTGTGAAAAAGGTAAAAAGGCTGCAAAAACATGCCAAAAAATTTGTGAAGTGTATGCTGGGAGTGAACAAAGGACCCAAGAGTGGTTTGCTCGATTCCATTCAGGAAATTTCAATATCAAAGATGCACCTCACTCTGGTCAACCAGTCACTGAAAAAGTCGATGAAATTTTGCAACTGGTGGAGCAAAACCAGCACGTAAGCTGTCAGGAAATAACAGAGGCACTAAACATCAACCACATGACAGTTTGGAATCATTTGAAAAAAAAAGCAGATTACAAAAAGAAGCTCAATGTTTGGGTGCCACATAAATTGCGACCTGGCGAAACCATCAATTTGGCCCTGTACTGTACACAACTCGACCGTTTGAATGAAGCAATACAGAAAGAGCGACCAGAATCAGCCAAATAAAGGGAGTTGTGTTCCATCATGAAAATGCACAGCTACACACATCTTTGATAACTTGGAACAAATTGACGGAACTTGGTTTGGAAGTTTTGATGCATCCACCATATAGCCCGAACCTAGCACTGTCTGACTACCACTTTTGTTGGTCTCTGCAAAACTCTCTTGATGGTAAAAAGGTGGTCGACCGAAGAGCCGCTGAAAATCATTCACCCAAGTTTTTCGATAATAAACCACAGAAGTTCTACACCGATAGAATTATGAAGCTACCCGAAAATTGGCAAAAGTTTGGTCAGTATGCACTTGATTAAAATTTATTTTCAACAAAGAAAGTTTTTGCTCAAAAATTTACCAAAAAATGCAGACTTTTTGTATGACTCAATATATGCATCATTTTCAGATCTTTCCTTAGTAATACATGCAGCTTAATAATCCATAGCAAAAGTGATTGCTTTCTCATATTTTATTGATAACGGTTAATACCAGTTTTAGAAATATCAGACTTTAGAATTTTGCTCTTCCTTTTTACTTCCTTGTACTTCCTTGTCTAATACTTTACTTCCTTGTGTAAAAAGGAAGTATTGTAATCGCGAAAAGTTTCAGGCAACATATTTCAACGAAAATATCCATTTTGACCGCTATCGAATGCAATTTAATGATGTTTTTGCATGATATCTGTACGTAAGGACAGAATAAAAGACTCGTTTCCTCCAAAAAAATTATAAAACTGCTTTAAAATTAATTCTGAGGAGAATTTTTCGTGGCATCTGTACGAACGTATGTACGTATCTCGCATAACTCAAAAACGAGTAGCCTCAAAACGTTGAAATTTTGTAGGACTGCTATAACATGTAGATGTGCATCTCGTATTTTGGTTGCAATCGGCCGCACCAAACATATATAAATATATCTATATATATATCCACTCTGTTACCCGGCTCAATGATCTCAGTTTCTTTACTCTTATATGTTTGTAAATTGTACATTTTTTGCTTTAAAAATAATTGAATTATGTTGTTTTTATCTTCCGGGCAAGGTTTTTATGCCTTTTGTAAATCTGTATGCAATATTTTTAGAATTATCAACAATTTTAAAGTTGTTTAAGTGCCGCTAAGCCTTTTTTTATGGTGGCCATTGATTGTTTACATTTGAAACAGCAGACTAGTGGATTTGTTGCCAATCTAGAGAAACTTAGCTTCGCAACAACAAAGATAACGCCTTCATTCATTATTGCCAATTAAATCATGCTTAATCCTTTCTGGTATTTTTTCGAGGAAATAAGTGTTTAAGATTTACTTCGTAATTTTTAATATAGATATTTTGAGTATTTTTGCCTTCTCGCGAAGTGAGAACTGAATTAAATGAATGAGAAATACTCAATCGTCTGTGAAAAACTGTTTCTTTTTTGTTTTGTTTGCTTAATTTCTTTCATACATCATTCTAGCTTTATTATAGTATTTGAATAGAACATGTGGCAACGATTAGATAATTCTATTCTTTAAATGATATAAATTTTGTGCTTTCTGAGTTACAATATGAACGAAACATAATACTGTTAAGTGAATCTAGTGCCAGAGTGTCGCTATGGTAAACAAATACTAGAGTGAATTTTAAAGAATTCATTTATTCTGTTGTGGTTTATGCGCTGTCGGCGAGGTAGATTTAATTCAATCCAATAAGTTTAAATGAAATGCAAGAAAAAATGTGTATAATTTAATATTCCGTACAAGGAAGTTGTGGTGTACACATCAGATTTTTTAAATTTGTAGTGTGATTGCATTCATGAATAAAATTGTCATGCAAAGCAATAGAACATCCTCAAAATTTAGTAGATGTTGGATTTAAACTAAATACAATAGAATTTCAGTAATAAATATGCTTTAATACTTGGGATTTTGCAGATTACATATCATAGTTTCTTTTACTTACATTTTTCCTTTTCTAATTTGAACATTAATTCTAAATTATATGTGCATAATAACACATCATAAGTTGCTTTTACCATAAAAATTATGTAATGAAAATTTGATGCTTTTTGATTATCTACACCAACACCAAAAAGTCACGTAAAGTATTTCATGAGCCAAAATTTTTGCCAAAATAGTTATGTAACAACCTACTATGTCACCAAAAATTATTTGTGTGCCAAACCAGATATGTGCTTGGCACATGTCTGTTTAAGTTTATGGGAATGCACTTTTGAAATTCAATCATCATTTTTCTGACTACTGTTTCTTTTTGCATGGTATCGATATATATTCCTTGTAATGAATTCTAATATCTATGTGGATTTTGCTGATGAAAAAGAAAGTGTTGCATTCTGCAGAAATATGGTATTTTATGCAGCAACAGATAATTAAAAATTGCTTTCAGAGCATTATAATGTGTGTAAAAAAATTGTTTGAAGATAGCCATATCTTATTTACAACAGCTATTTACATTGTTTATTGTTGGCCATTGCATAATGACCATTTATACAGTTCTGTCTCACTCTCTCTCTCTCTTTTTTTTTTTTTTTTTTCAGCAGAAATTGCTGTGTACATGAGGAGAACAAAGCACAGAATAATTACTGAAGATGCGTCCTGCTTTTTAAATTTAGTTGAATAATTGATCTCTTGAAATTTTAGCACACCACCATTCTGGAAATGGTTTTTCCTTTGCCGCATTAGTTTGGTAAAAAATTAGTTGCTAACAAGTTCACATATGCCCTCTAAAGTCGACAGTGAATTTGCGACTTTTCGGTGGGGCTGCAGAAAAACAGAAGGTACGCTAAATTTATGGATTTGGATATTATTATATTTTAAAATTTATTTCTAAACAAAGAATAACAAAAGCAAAAACAAAAACAACATGGTGGGAAGAAAAAGTTGTAAAAGTATGCCAAAGTATTTTATGATGTATTATATATGTCAATTTTGAGTATTTAAGTGTTAAATAATTTTATTACTGGATATGTACAGGTTGTTTCTGAATTCGATTATAGTAGGCATCAAGAGGAAGAAAAATTGTCATAGAACAGAGCTGCAAACCACATTTAGTGCAAGAAAATCACAAAAATAGACATGTAGCATTTTAGGTTCTTTGGTTCTTTTTTGATTCCATTCATGCTTTCAATATGCTTTGGGAACTTTTATATTAAAGCTATAGTAACAATGTAATTAATTATTCAAGCAAATGTTTTTATTATCTGCTGGATATAATAACACTAAAATCTCTTCATTCAGTATTGCAATAAACATAGTATTTTAATTTCCTATTTATATAAATTTGAGTCTTAGTCTTTTACCTTTTTAGATTCAGTTTTTTGCTGTAATTTTAATAAAAATGGAGATCTTGCTGTTTCTGGAGGACAAGATGATAAAGCTTTTGTATGGAATACAACTAACGCAGAAACAAAATTTGAATGCACTGGTTTGTTTCACTTAAATCTTTGTTTTTAAAATGTAGCTAATAATATTGTTAATTGCAGATAAAATATTCATTTATTTTTAGGTTTGTAATTTTAGAATAAATTTTGGTTTTCTGAAAGGTCATGGTAATTGGAATTGGCTGTGAACTTATTTTACATTATCAATTTATTCTGTATTTATCAATTGCCATCCTTTAATTAAAAGGCAATTCAGATTCTTATTTGGCATAATGATTCTAACAGGTGAATTCGGCTTTCTGTGTAACAGAAAAAAATAGCTGTTTAATCAAATCAGATCAGGCTAACAAATTCAAAAAGGAAACCTCTGAGTAGTGGTTTTGAATCTTTTTAGCTTCATGTGCTTCTTTCACTATTGCTAAATCATCCTTCTTCCTTTCCAAAACGTGAAAAATATATAAATAAATTCTTCCTTTTTAACTTTTTATAAATTAAATAACAAAAAGTATAAAAAATGCTGATAAATACTAAAACTTTAGTAAAATTAATATTCATAAATTGTAGCTTAACCCCTTAACCTACGATTTAGATTCAAAGATGTTGGGCCGAAATTGCATACAAGCTCGTGCAGCGTTCAGGACATTTGCACGACTTGTGTAACACGCTAATCCGGGCAATCGTGAACATGACGAATTATGTAATTTTTGAAGAAAGTATAGGCGAATAATTATTAATGATACATCCGATGACGATCAACTACCAAAGTTCTGGCTTTGGAAAGAAATAAGAAATAGTCTAAAAATCTGGGACTATACGATGACTCCTGACATAAGAGAGGAAGCTTTATGTCAATTAGGAAGAAGTAGAGAAGAATTTGATATATTTTATCTAACATTTGATGACATATTTTAGAACAATATTGTAACCGAAACGAATCAGTATGCAGATCAAGTACGAGAAAATCCACATAGAACACGAGTGTAAAAAGTGTAAAGTTCCGTTACATGTACCAGAATGCTTTGAAATATATCATACCATTACAGATTACTAGTTTTGTATTTTGTATAAATAAACATTTTGTAATACTTGCGTCTACCAAAATTATTGCATCAGACTGTAATTGCATATCAAATATTCCACATAATATTCACTTCTGGCCCGATTACTGTATGCAGGCTATGCTCGTGAAAGTTAGGTTTGGTCCGACCATCAATATGTGGGCTATGCCCATCATTGTAGATTAAGGGGTTAACAGATAATTAAAAGACTAATTGCATTCCACCGTGAAGCTATGAAGTTCCTCTCTGGTTGAGAACTTCTGCTCTAAAATCTTACATGGCATTATTTTACTACTTTCTTCGACGTATGTAAAATAAAAGTAAAAGTGTAAGTGAATGAATATTTTATCTTGTCAGATGGAAATTATCTCTCTCACCCCCCATCCCCCAATTCTTTCAGAATTTCTTTGAAATAATAGTGCCATTATTGCAGTCCATTACTTGTTAATGATGCACTGCTGTCAGTTTGTTTTCAGGTATGCTAATAACCAGTACTATAGGTGCAGAATAAATTGAAATTATTCTATTAGATGAGGTTATTATAATAAGTGGTAGTTAATTACTGATGTGGTTTATTTAGCATTTGAATTGTGTAATTATTCTATATAATATGATAAACTTCTTCCCTTCATCTTGCAATTTCATTTATCAAAATACCTGTTCACAAGATCCAGTCAAATTTTAGATAAAATATATAGCTAAAAAGGAGGGCTTATTTTTGAGTAAATAAGATATTAACTTGTTTAAAATATTTGTTTTTGATAAACTCTTAAGTGATCTAAACATTATCCTGATGAATGGAGCTTTATGAGAACAGTAATATGTAAGTAATTATAAAAATTATCTAATAATCATTGTTTAAATACAACTGTTCATCAGCAAGTCCGAAAAAAGGCACTTGGAGGATTATTGAAATGTGCATCAGTATTTTCATAACAAATTTGATTGTGAATCTTTTACTGTAAATGTTCTGGATAAAAATTTTCTGATATATTCATTTATAAAGCATCGGGCTTTTATCAGAACTAATTGTACTTCATAATGGTCATTTTGCAATGAACCAGTTTTCTGATACGTATGATATGAAAAATTTTCCCAAACATAGTTTTTCAACACCAGGAGATATAAAATATGTGGAACATTGAGAAGATGTTACGTAATCGCTACTATAAATGAAGAGTTCGCACCATTTTTTGTCAGATTGCATTTCTCCGCCTTCTGATGTATAATACCCTTTGCTGCCGCTCTTCCTGTCTTGTCTGTCTTTCCTTGAATAGTATGACACAGTAAATTTAAACTTGTATTCATTAAATTACTCATATTCAGTCTAAATTACTATTGCATATGTAATCTTGAAGAATCTTAAAGAATAATGACCTGCCATGAAGTGAATAAAGATATGGAGTTTTAAACAATGAAATCTTTCGGTGTCATCATTTCTGCTGTAAGTCACTTGGCCATGTTCGGATTTTGATGCCAAGATTCATCATTTCCAATACCGATCTACTGCAAATAATCACTTTATATATATATATATATATATGGAACCACAGTATCACATTTGCTTTTAAGCAATAGCATGAAGAATTTCCTTTTTACCTTGTTTTCAAATTTTGCAGCTCAATGCACAAAATTCTTGACCGCACAGGTCTTTTTTAATTTGCTCTCCTTTCTTCCATTATTATATATATTACGGCTGTTAGAATACTGTATCGAAGGCAGCACTCAACAAGGAAAAGTCAGAGCAGCAACTGAATTGTATAAGAAGTCTGTTATGTGAGAAATTTCCTGAAAAGCTGTGCTTCCAGATTTTGGGTTTCTTCTGAATTTCTGTTGGCTTTTCCATTGTTTCAAATACACTGCCTATTGGATCAAAGTGCATGCAACTGAAGACCTGCATTACAGACTGATGCTGCATTTATTCCAAACATTGTTTTAAGCTGCATGAAATGAGATTGACTGTTTGCTGGATGTTTGGATACTACTACTGACATTCACATTGAAATTCACTGAGACAGTTATGGTGAGAAAGAAAATTTTGGACACTTTCCATTTATATATTAATATAAAGAACAAATTTCTGTGGTAAATACTTTCTGCTATATAAATTCATAATTTTACCTGTTGTAGATGGCTTCCATAATGCAAACTTGAATCCTCTGCAAGGCTTGGTTGTTTGTACTCCTTTCCTTCCCTATCATAAATGTAATAGCGGCCACTGTCTGTTGTGCACGCTGGGCAATGCTTTTGATGATGAGATTTCCAAATGACCAATAGGTTTAGTCATTCCTAGTGAATGCATTAAGTTACAAATATTTGACTATTTGGGAAAATACAATGAAGAAAGCAAAATTTATTATTTTGAATAACTTTTATCTAAGCATCCTCTATTTTAGGCTTATTCAAGTAGCTAGAAAATTCTGAAGGAATTGCAGTTTTTAATGCTTAGTGTGAGATAATTATAATATTTTGTTGTAGTTTTTAATGCTTTATCTACTAATTATGATATTTTGGTGTATTGACAGGCTGTTATTACAGTGGTTAAAATCTTTCTACTCAATTATGCTATTTTAAATATTTGTAAAGTTTAAAAAAAAAAAAAAAAAAAAAAGATGTGCATATTCATGAACTTTATTGTTTTATTCCAGTATTTAATATTTTATGTCTTTATAGGCCATTCTGAATCTGTAATTGCTGCAGATTTTAGTTATGATGATTCTTTTGTTGCTACTGCTGATATGAATGGATTTGTTCAAGTTTGGAATGTAAATTCAGGATCTAAAGTTTGTGATTTTGATACATCTGAAATAATGGTAAGATTTATGTAAAATAACTGCTGCTTTTAATTAACATCAGTATGCTATGTGCAACGTAATGTTGTAAATATTTTGTAATATAAACTTATAATTGGTATAAACATTCAAAGCATTGCCATTAGAAGTGTACCCTTCTGAGCTATTTGCTGATACCTTTACCTAGTTGAAAAGTAACCTCTTTGAATTACAGTCTCTCTAAAATGACTCATAACTGTCTGCTTGTTGTCAGAGCCATGTTTGTATAGTATTGCTCAGTGTTTCAGAAGCTGCTGAAAAAAATCAGTTCTAGAACTTTGAAAATATGTTTTCCGAAAACTTAGAGAAAATCTCCAAGTTGGCAAGAAATTGCCAAATATTGTCAAGCGTGATGACAAAAATTCTGGTTATGAATATTTCTGCTTATATCTAAGGCTCTATGTGACCTATTTTTTACTTATTTTGTTGTGGATTCAGAAAAACAAGATTTCCAGTTTTATATAAGAAATAAGCACTTATGTATGGCCACGATTCTTTTGCGCAAAAATAAAACCTTGAAATTATTATCTAAAATGCAAAGAGTGAAGGAATAATGAAATAAAAATAATACAGACATTATAATATAACAGTGCAATTAAATAGACGCAAATATTTAAAGAAATTTACAACAATATTTTAAATCTATTACAGTATGTAATTCATAGTAAAATAGACTGAAAAGTAGTTTGTTTAAATATGATAGCAATTTCTAAGGACTTGAATAATTTAATTTTGAAGTCAAACAACAAAATAATTGTTAGACTATGAAATAAGTGGATATGCATAACTATAAATATTCAATTTATAAATAAATTTTTGTTATTAAATATTATGTTGAATTTGGCTTATGTTGGCTAAGCAGATACAGTCAAAAGTCGTTAATCCGGACTCGTCGGGACTTCGGCGATTCCGGATTATCGATTTTTCCGGATTATAGATCATCAGTTTAAATCTCGTAAGATGGCATGCAGAAATTCTAAAATTAAAAATATGAAACCATAATTTATGAAGTAAAGAACAATTATGATCTAAAGGGTATCAAAATTTACAAAAAAAAAAAAAAAAAGCTTAATATTTATCTGTTGACTTTATTAAATATTTCTTTCAATGTAAGTTGTTTAAGTTGCTTCGTTTTATGTGATAATACTTTCTCTTTAATTCTATAAACAGACATAATTTCTTGTTCAGTTACAAAGTTCCGCTGTTCAAGTCCTCTAATTGCTGTGCCGAGAATACCGACTAACTTGTCAATCGAAATTTTTTCGTTTTCACTAACCTCTCTGTCACCTTCTTCCTGTCTTTATCCATTTTTTGCAGCAATTCCACTTTTTGTTTGATGGACATCGAAACATTCTTTCGTTTTGTAGATCCTTTGGGAGCTCCAGCATTGGAAATTCTATTTGACATAATCAAAAGTTCAAGTTCACTTTTATAAAATTGCTCTTACAGTCTGCAAAAAATAATAAGCCGCATCCAATTCGAAGATTAAAGAAAAACGCAATTATCAACATTAACTGAAATAGATAATTAGATAATTTTAGCTTATACCGTCCGTTATACCTTAAACGCGCACGTGAAAACGTATTCTGCGCTTGCGCACATGCATATGCGAGTCATAAAGGTTTTACGCGCATGCGTAAACGCCTATGCGCATGTGTCAACACGCCGCATGCGCAGAAAGTTTTTAGCTTTGAGGTCCGGATTATAGATCATTCCGTATTATGGGTGTCTGAATTAACGACTTTTGACTGTATGAAATGTGTAGTTATTTGAACTGATATTAATATATTCATTACAGTGCAAATACTGTATGTATGTTGGATGTTCCAAAGTAAGTTTCATTTTTTTCCCCCACATGGAAAGTATTTTGCCTCCCCCCTAAAATTACACCATGACATGAACTATCCACCTTTCACTATTTCTTGACATAGTTGCCACCAGCAATGAGAAATTTTTTGTAGTCTGCCATCAGTTTGAAAAACCACTTTGGTAAAACACGATGCCCTGCGATGCAAGGAATTGTTACATAGCCTGCTTCACCTGAGCACTGTTTTGGCAGTGACATCCTGAGAGTGCAACTTTCAATGCAGGGAACAGGTGAAAGTCTGATGGGGGCAAGATCAGGGCTGTAGGTCGAGTGATCCAGTCTCTCCCATCCGAAGCAGTGAATCTGATCTTGTGTGTGCCTTGCTGTGTGCAGTTTTGCATTGTCATCCAAGAGCACAACACTTACTCAAGAACTTTACTCAAGAGTCGTTGTCTCTTTCATCAAATGTGGACCTGAGTTTGGTGAAGGTGTTGCAGTAGCATGCTGCATTGCTAGTTTCATGAGTGAAATCAGGGAGAGCCGCATCTTTTGTATCCCAGAACACTGTGGCCATAACCTTTTCTGTGGAGGGTGATACTTGTTGTTACAGAATGTTTCCCTCACTGGTGAACTGGGATGCTTCCACATCATTGAGATAGTCTTCCTTTCTGGGGTAAAGTGGTGCACCGATGTATCTTTTCATGTGATGATTCTGAACAAGAACTAATTTCCCTCTTGTGCATACTGCATCAAGTGATCAAGGCTGATTTCCCTCTTGAGCATACCGCACCAAGTGATCAAAGCTGATTTCCCTCTTGTGCATACTGCATCAAGTGATCAAGGCTGATTCCCATTCCTGCAGTATTGTCATCCAGACTCAGTTTTCTCAGTACTCTTTGCAATTACTTATTGGTAACCCAACACTGTGGTGAGCCTGAGCATGACCAATACTCAGTGTGATGCCACGTCTGATGTTAAGCACCTGTCTGCTAACACCATGTCCTTGTTCAATATTGTTTTCATTTGTAGATATGGAGGGATGCTCACTTCGACCTTTATCTTATACACTCTTCCTTCCTTCACTGAACAGCAGTGACCAACCATTTGACAAGTTACTCTTCATGCACAGTCTGTATGCTTTCGTGTACAACGGACACGCTTGTCCCATGTGCCCATTCATACCGTATAACAGCACACACTTCCATTTATGACCACATTATCAGCATACGTCTATCTGCCATCATAATTTTGTACTCAAATAAGCTCAAGCATGCCAGGCTGCTGCTACTCCCCTTTTTTCACCGCTTTGCACATGTGCCATTCTTCCTCTGCTGACTCTTCTTCCGTCATTCAACGGGTATGGTTTCTTATGGCAATAATTTGTTTTACCTGGTGTACCATCTTCTCCTTCGGAAAAATGACGAAACTTATACTTCTGGTACGTCCCTCATATACAATAATAGTGTAACAAGGAAGAATAAGAATGTACATTTCTGTATTATTAGGACATTGGCAAAATGTTTAAATTTGATACTCTGCAAATTATGTTGCATAATAAATACTGGTACACAAGTGTTTCTCCGATTATCAATGCAATTAAAATAATCTGTACTCCTCATTTTAATCATATAATTCAAAGCTTCCTCCTTGATTAATAGAGAAAACTGATTTATAGATAGTTTTTAATATTTTATATTCTGTTGGGTTAAACATCAGAAATAAATATATTTCTACTTAATTTTTTTTAGTTTCATTCAGTTTGGTCATAAAATTTAAATTCTCTCCCCTTTTTTTTTAAATTAATTTTTTAGAAACTATCAGCCAGCAAAGTTAATTTCAAAAATTATGCATTTTTTCACTGGCTCATTCAATTCATTTGTCTTTTTCTTTTTATTTCAAAAAAAAAAAAAAAAAAAAAGAGTGTCAAGTGTTGGTAAAAGATGCACCTAAACAGTCTAAAAGTGTATTACATTCATTTTAGACTTCAAGTTAGGCTCTCTCTCTCTCTCTCTTTTTTTTTTTTTTTTTTTTTCCCTGTCTGCTTTAACATCTAAAGTAGGTAATATTCTCATTCTCTCCTTCCTTCCATTCTGTTTGTTTTTAGCTATTTATGTATTCAAAAGTTTTTTTTTTTTTTAAGTTATTTTTTCGTTTTTAGCTGTTTATGTATTCAAAAGTTTTTTTTAAAGTTATTTTTTCTTATATGGTTACATTACAAAATTATTAATGTTTTGCCAATGTACAAGGTATTTGAAAAGAAGCAACTATGACATTATAAGGTTAACTTCATTTGTAATAGTCTCTTAAATTTGCTTTTTAATTTAAATATTTCTCCTTTGTATTCTTAGAATAGGAATATGCCTATAAGAAATTATTCTTCAGAATTAATCTGAATCCTAATGTAATGCTAATTGTGCATGATGTACTTACATAATGGCAAAAGTGAATGCAAGATTTTTTATTCAGCTATGGTAAAAGAAAACATTAATTGACTGATAGTAATAAGGTGGTACTGTAGAAAAATCAACAAGCTTTGCTATTCTTAATCTTGATTATGCTCTTTTTTCTCCCTGCTATTGCTTGCCATTGTTTAGTGAACATAGAAGTATTTCTCAGTGTTATGGACTGTTCTAATTTTACGAAATATTTTACTGTGATGCAAAAGATACTTCAAATGAAGAGTGCCTAAAATAAAGATGATCATTTACAAGTGTACAATTCTTATTTATTAAAAGAAAATAACACCAAACATTCTGCATCATCTAATTTTATCAATCTATGGCAATGTGTACTAATTTTTTATAATTATAATTCATTAAATGAATAATGGTAAAGTAAGTTTATGTCTCATGATAGGTACGTGGTGTCATTATGTAAAGGTTTGATTTAATTATAATTGGATAAAAAAATCTGATGTGTACACCACATGACTACATGACTTCCTTGTACGGAATATTAAATTATACGCATTTTTTCTTGCATTTAATTTAAACTTATTCGATAGAATTAAATCTACTTCACCGACAGCGCATAAACCATAATAGAATAAATGCATTCTTTAAACTTCACTCTAGTATTTGTTTACCATAGCGACACTCTGGCGTTAGATTCAATTAACAGTATTATGTTTCATTCATATATTATAACTCATAATGCACAAAATTTAGATCATTTAAAGAATAGAATTATCTAATTGTTGCCACTTGTTCTATTCAAATACTATAATAAAGCTAGAATGCTGTATAAAAGAAATTAAGCAAGTAAAACAAAAAAGAAACAGTTTTTCACAGACGATTGAGTATTTCTCATTCAATCAATTCAGTTCCCACTTCGCGTGAAGGAAAAAATACATAAAAATTCAGAATATCTATATTAAAAATTACGAAGTATATCTTAAACACTTATTTCCTCGAAAAAATACCAGAAAGGATTAAGCATGATTTAATTGGCAATAATAAATGAAGGCGTTATCTTTGTTGTTGCGAAGCTAAGTTTCTCTAGATTGGCAACAAATTCCACTAGTCTGCTGTTTCAAATGTAAACAATCAATGACCGCCATAAAAGAAAAGCCTTAGCGGCACTTAAACAATTTTAAAATTGTTGATAATTCTAAAAATATTGCATACAGATTTACTAAAGGCATAAAAATCTTAACCGGAAGATAAAAACAACATAATTCAATCATTATTAAAGCAAAAATTCTACAATTTACAAATATATAAGAGTAAGGAAACTGAGATCACTGAGCCAAGTAACAGAGTGGATATATATATAAATATATTTATATATGTTTGGTGCAGCCGATTGCAACCAAAATAAGAGGTGCACATCTACACGTTATAGCAGTCCTATATACAAAATTTCAACATTCTGAGGCTACTCGTTTTTGAGTTATGCGAGATACGTTTGTACAGGCGGCACGAAAAATTCTCTTCATAATTAATTTTAAAGCAGTTTTATAATTTTTTTGGAGGAAACAAGTCTTTTATTCTGTCCTTACGTACAGATAGCACGAAAAAACATCGTTAAATTGCATTCAATAGTGCTCAAAATGGATATTTTCGTTGAAATATGCTGCCTGAAACTTTTCGCGATTACAATACTTCCTTTTTACTTCGTACAAGGAACTAAAAAAGATGATACTGCGCCTTTGCCTTTGTGTAAATACATGTATTAGCATTTTATAAGAACCATATGTCAGGGATTAATTCTGAAGTGATAGACTTAAGGAAGATTTACTATAAACACATGCAAGGTGGTGGAAAAAGAATGCAGGCTTTTGAAATGGCTAGCAGTTGGGAATGTTAAGGTCAATGCCAATTCATCTGCACCACATCTGAGTACTTTAAGAGGTTTCATTTTTATTAGCTGTGGTACAGTGAAACGCAGAGCATCATATTTTACTGTGGAGCAGTTTTTTTTAGAAATATTGTGTTTTTTGTTACTATCTAACATCATTTCCATCTGCAGCTCAGTGCTACACGTGATGGGGTGATGTCTTGTTTTAACATATTACTGTGATGTGTTAAACTGTTTTGAACTACTAGATCAGTTATAAAGAAATGGGTTGACCAGCTGTTCCTCAATGGTAAGGATTCTAAAAAAATTGTCGAGAGCATGACTAGATTGATTCTTCAAAGTCCTCATGCTCCGCTAGGTATCATGGTCTTTTTGCTACTGCATATTCTGCACATCAGTTGAAATTCCACCCATGGAAAATCATTGTTTGAAACATGTTAAGATGTTTTAGAGTGATTTTTTTCAAATGCAGATTATTTTATGAAAGGATGCTTGAAATTATTACTTTTGATAATGTTATTGAGGTTTTTTTTTCAATTTGGATGGTTATGTTGGTAAGGAAAACTATTGATTTGGGGCTGCTCGGAATGCACAAAAATTGCACCAAAAGCTTGAAGGGTCTACAGTAACTGTGATTTCATAGCCCTATGATGGCATGCTCTGCATTTTTCCCCATCCACAGTTTTGAATTTTATAAGAATACAGATGAAATTCCAGAGGTGCCAATGAAATGGAGTTGCTGTCCATCCATTTATGTGTTAGAGACATGATTGTATGTTCTCCGTAATTAAATATCAATATGTACTTATCAAAACTGTGTTCATTGCAGATTATTTCAGTGTTAGTAAATTATTTTTATATTGAAAATTAATGAAGTTACATTTATTTGAAATATATGCATTCTTTTTATGCATCACTGTTGAGGCTAGATACTGAAAATAACTAAATTAGAAAGGAGTCTTAAGGGATTATAAATTAAAATTTTATCTTGTACATTTCTCAAGCTAAGGGAATGAACATTTCTTAAATATATACTTCTAGTTACAGTTTTGTAAATAACATTCAGAATTTTCTTAAAACAGTCTGAACACTATCAGTGAAGATCAGTTATTCCGTAAACGTATTGAAATACCAAATTTATATCAAAATTGGCATGGCAAAATGAGCTAATTGGCTAGTTCATTTTCAAAAGTCTATGTGAATTTTGTTATGTCATTTGAATTTCTCTTTATATCGCTGTGTTTTTTAATATGTAATCAATGCTCTGGGCTCTCTCATGCAGTTATTAAATTTCAATTTTGATTAAAATGGGGTTAAAAAGACTCTAGGATTTATGAGTTAAAAAAATATAAAGTAACAAATTTATATTTTTTATAAATTAGGTTGGAACAGAAATTTGCTGTTGAAAAATCAAGAGTAACTGATCATAATATGGTTATTGTATTTTTATTTGTTGGTAAGGTCCTACAATTTTTATATTTATAAGGTCATCAGTTAATGGGGGAGTGATTCTCTTGAGTTCAAAGTGTTCTTTTTTATATCTGGATTTGATATCTGGACTCCATTGTTCATTGTTATAATGTCTTGATTAATTTATAGTAAGACTGTATTTAACTCATGTTATTTATCTTTGAAACTGTATTATGAGAATCAAGGATAATTTAATTACCTATTTATACAGTATTAGCCATTTAAAAAACAATTTTTAACATGCTTGATTATATTTAGCTTTCTCTTATTAGCTTGAAAATGGAGCTGTAAGAAGGTACTCCCTAATCTGTGTTTATATACACCAGTTAAATTATATTTTGATTTTTTCTAAATTGTTGCTTTCTGAATGGCAATGCAAATGAAATACAGAGAATTTTAATGATTTACCTCAATTAAGATTTAAAATCAAAAATCTTTAAAAGTTTTTTCAAGAATATTTTAGATTCTGCTTAATTTTTTATATAAATTTTTGAATATATAACATAATAATGAATATTTTAGTGGATGGAATGGCATAATACTGAGAATATGTTATTTGCTGGCACAACGGATGGTTGTTGTTGGAAATGGGGTATACCTGATGGAGAAACTTCATTATTTCAGACTCATGGATTTGGTAGCTCAAGTGGCAAGTTATTACCTGATGGTTTGTATTTTATATCATTTTTTAAATAATCAAGCTTTTAACAGTTTTTATTCATTTAATTAATTAAAATTATTTAAAGATTCTCTGTTATATTTTATAAAAGTGTGTATTTATAGAGAAAAAAGGTATACAGTCAAAAGTCGTTAATTCGGACACCCATAATCCGGAATGATCTATAATCCGGACCTCAAAGCTACAAACTTTCTGCGCATGCGTAGCATTGACGCATGCGTGTAAGACCTTTACGGCTGCGAATATGTGTGTGCGCGTGTGCAAAATACGTTTACGAATGCGCGTTTAATGTATAATGGACGGTAAAAGCTAAGCTAAAATTATCTAATTCAGTTAATGTTGCAGATTGCATTGTTCCTTAATCTTCAAATTGGATTCGGATTATTATTTTTTGCAGACTGTTAGAGCAATTTTATAAAAGTAAGCTTGAAATTTCGATTATGTCAAATAGAATTTTCTGATATATATTTATTAATATGTAAAGGATCTACAAAGCGAAAGTATGTTTCGAAGTCTATTAAACAAAAAGTGGAATTGCTGCAAAAAATGGATAAAGGCATATCCTTTGTTTATCTAAACTTTAACGTTTGTTTATCTAAACTTTGTTTATCTTTAAAGCCGCGGCGCGCAATGAATTGGAAGTTGATCTGTCAGCACTATCCTTATCTTCAGCACAGATGTTTTTATTTTATTTGGCTTATAAGTCCTTACTAAATGTAGTATTTCATCTCGATGTACTCCGTCTTTGATATGATTTAAATCAAATTCCTCGTCATTATAATTTGCTTCCGATAGCGAAGAAAGTGACAGAGGTTATTGAAAACGAAAAAATTTCGATTGACAAATTAGTCAGTATTCTCGACAAGCAATTATAAGACTTGAGCAGCGAAACTTTTAACTGAACAAGAAATTATGTCTGTTTATAGAATTAAAGAGAATATATTATCACATAAAAAACGAAGCAACTTAAACAGCTTACATTGAAAGAAATGTTTAATAAAGTAAACAAATAAATATTAAGCTTTTTTTGCAAATTTTAATACCTTTGATTAGATCATAATTGTTCATTATTTCATAAATTACGGTTTAATATTTTTAATTTTATAATTTCTGCATGCCATCTTACCAAATTTAAACTGATGATCTATAATCCGGAAAAATCGATAATCCGGAATCGCTGAAGTCCCGACGAGTCCGGATTAACGACTTTTGATATATATGTATATATAACTTTCTCCCTGAAATAAAAGTTTATGTTCAAGTGTTCAAAGTTATGTTCAAGTGCAAGGACTTTCAGTATATTTTTATGTTTAGGTTGCACATGTGCTATTGGTTATATGGATGGCAGCATAAAATTATGGGATATATCTAACTGCTGTAGTATTGGAAATGTGTCTGGTAAGTGAAAATTGTATTAATTGTAGTTCTTTTTTTCCAAATCCTTTTGGCATATGGTACTGTGAACTAGTATCTGTGTTATTAGCTGTCATAGCATATCTCGGTAAGTATGTTGCTTGTTTCTGTAGAATTTTGGTAGGACAGTTCTTGAAGAAAGCACAATAGATATTAATGAATAGACATATATCTATGAAATTTGAAAATTCTGAATTTTACCCATTTTGTTTTTCTTTCTTTCTTTCTTATCCCCCTATTAATCATTTCCCAAATTAATACCTTAAACCTGAAGTAAGCATATTATCCTTGTGATATGAAACCTGCAAGTTGTTTGAAAAGTGATTTTTTTTTTTTTAATCTCTTGACATAGAAAATGTAATTACTTTGCTTTATTTAAATCTAATGAAGGCACAAATCCTTTAACAGACTGACAATTTTACATTGATAGTTATTTAAAAGCAATTTTAATAATATTGTAATGAATTATGCTTTTTTAAAGCACATAGGAGAAAGTAAAGATATTAGACATTGTTTGCACTGCCAAGTTGTTTAATTTCTTACATTATGCTTGTAACATTAAATCTCTTTCCTGGATTGTTTTTTTTTTTTTTCTTCTTTATTCAGAAATGGTATGTATTCAAAAAATTCCTCCCCTCCAACCTTTTTTTCCGCTTTCTGAAAATGAGTTGGGATTTATGTTCAGCAGGACATGCCAGTGTATAATAATTAGGCACGAGTGAAACTTGACTCTTGTTTCTTTTGTCGCAGTAGGTAGTTTAAAATGTGAAGCAGGAGCATTTGAAACAACCATATCTATTGCAAAGAAAAAAAAAATTTCTGTATCCTTTCATGCACTTCTGCACATTTGATAAACTAAACAAGTTGATATTGCCTTTTGATTTTCTTTCGCCAGTTTCTCTTTTTCCTTATTGTCTCAGTTTCTATTATTTCTACATCACTATGTTTAGTACTTGTCATTAATGACATTATTGTGGCAGCTAGAAATAAAAAATTATTTATTTATATATTATGCACTATTGTCTTTTGGGGGATACATATGAACACCTGTTTTAAAAATGGAAGATAAGGATATCCTCTGAAGTACTGTAGTAGTTCTTCCTTCCCTTCTAGTCTTCCCACAATTATGTCAGTGTTTACAGTAAATTAAGTGGATTTGTTATATGTATATAAACTATGAAAGGAAGAGAAAGAAAGAAAAAAATACAAATGCAATAAAAAGAGTGTAGTGGTAGAAGCAATGTATCTGGGTCGAATTGTGTCATGGTCTTTAGAAATGTGTAGTATGGAAAATATTCAATAATAGGAAATTTTATTATAGAATTTATCATTTACTTTGCCAAATGGAACATAGTACTTTACAAAGAATTTAGAAATGAAATTAAAGTAAAACTGTGTTTGCTGTAATAAAAAAAAAATGGAATTTAACTCATAATCGCATAAAAAGAATGATGGTTTAACATTATACAAAGCTGAATATTTTGGCTGCTCTTAATTAAGATCTGTATTAGAATTTTGCTATCTTGTAGAACAAATCTCTTAACCTGTCCTTGATGACACATAAAAAAATTCTTGTTATCTGCAAAAAGTTAAAAATTATAACAAACAAAAATATTGTAGTGCATATAAAGGACACCTCACAAAAGTTTAAAACACTGAAAATTCTTTGAATGTACTACTGTAAAAGTTTATAGAATTGTTGAATAAAATTTTTGTTAATGTGAACCATTGGTACCATTAAAATTGTGTCTAATATCTGCTGCAGTTTGTTGAAAGCAAGAGTACGTATGTATTATTTCAACCACCTTAGTTGAAGTTGTCAGATTTTTTCTGAATGTGCCAAAATCTGGCAAACGTGCCAAATATCCGTCAGACCTTATGCTCAGAACAGACCTTCATGCAAGCAACATTGCCATTTTCTTCTGCAATCTACTTGTTCTATTCCTAGTTCTAACATTTTTTGTAAACAAGTCATGATATTTTTTTGCCATAAACTCAATTTTATAATATATGCTTGTGGAAATTTCCCAGCCATGGAAGAAACTTCAATAAAAGTTTTGCAGTAATACATTGCTGCAAATTCTCTAAAGGGGACAATTATTTTGAATCTGTAGTTAAAGCCTTCACTACTAAATTCCCACCAGAATTTATTGATTTTCCAAATAAAAACCTAATTAGAATGCAAAATATACATGTAATAATATTTATATGTATGATAAATATATTTTTGTAATTCCATTGAATGATGACTTTAATGTCATAATTTTTTTATCTAGAAAAAGTTTCCAAATTGTGCCAAGGTGATAGTATTAATACATAAGTACCAAAATAAATATATGCTTTAAAATAAGAAAAACGCCTAGTTTGTTCTGTGTTTAAATTGTAAAAATGAAACATGGGTTGTATTTAATATTTAACTGAATGTAATTGCATAATTTATAGACTGTTTTCTTTTAAGGTCCTGCTGCTCATAAAAAGTCTGTTTTGTGTTTGGCCTGCCATCCAAACAATGGTTTAATTCTTTCGGGTTCAGAAGATGGTACAGCTAAACTTATAAAGCAGTCGACCAGTAAAGTAAGAAATGTTTTTATTTACAGTTTATGGTACCTTCCCACTAATGACAATTTATTACTAAACCTAAGACATTGCCAAAGATTGTAATTCTAAGAAAGGTTTTTCTCATAATAGTTTACATTCAGAAATTACCATTTCCATATTTTGAAAAAGATTTAAAATTTTTAGTTTCATACCATTGCATTTAGTACTTATACATGTTATATTAATAATTTTATCTTTTATTTTGATTTTTTAAATTAAATATCCTCTTGATCAGGGTTCGTACAGTCCTTAAAAGTCCTTAATTTTTTCAAAAATGATTTTTGGTCCTTAAAAGTCCTTAATTTTGGCCAAAATGAATAAAGGGTCCTTAATTTTGCTCATTTGACATTTCTTATCATTTCTAATGATTGCCATTTTAAGTGTGAATTACGATTTCTCATGAATATGGAATTAAAATTACATGGCTCTTAACCAATCTGTTGGCGGATTTGCGTTGCAAACGATAAAAAAAAAACAATTAGCTACCCGAACGAAAGTATCGTTGTCTGATTGGCTATTCACCCAATCTTTCGAAACAGGTGTTATCTATAAATTTAGGCAGATTGTGACGAAAGCGTGAAGCCGGAAGTTCTTTAAGAGGCGAAAGTGATGATGAAGGTGCTCGAGAAAAAAAAAAGGGGGGGATTCTGAAAATATTTGCCAAAATTAGAGCAATCCCAACCTGGAAGGCCACAACCCTTCCGACGCCAATAGGAACGAGATGCCTGGAAAGTGCATTTTCAATAAACTGTGGCTTCATCAAGCTGACTACAAAGACTGGATATTGATGGTATGGCAATCCTAAAGCTAAATGTGGTCTTTGTCTGAAACAAATTGAAATTTCTAGAATGGGAGAGTCAGCGCTGAAAATTCACATGAAAATTAAGTTTCGTTTTATCATTTCAATTTGTTTTTACGTGGTTTTGCTTAGCTCAATTTCTGTGTTTGTTTCAATTAAGCCATAAATTAATTTTTTATCACCTTCTGCAGAGTTTATTCTCTTTTGCACATACTATATGTATGGGATATCGGGATTATGAGTTTATTTCTGCAGCTTGTCTGTTATCGATTTCGCGGGAAATCTGTTGGCTCCATTTCGACTTTAGGTCGCCAAGGGCAAATTCGGTAACGCTAGCCGAGAAAAAGTGAAGATCGGAAATACGTTTTGAAGCTTCAATAGACAATTAAGTATTTGGTTTAAACCTATGTTGTTGATAGTAATGCGTAATTTTTGCTAATGGCGATGCAATTATTAGTTGAAAATAACTAACTAATTAAAATTTTTTAATATTTTTAAAGTTGAAAACAACTAATTGAAACTAATTTTCCTGAATTAACTAGACGCAAAATTAACTTTCATGAATTACTAAAGTTATTGGGTAGAAGTTTAACTGAAAATATACTTTCCGTATATATATACAGTACAAAGTCTGAGGTCGGGACTTCGGCGATCCCAGATTTGAGATTTTTCCGGATATTAGATCATTTTAAATCTACTAAGATGGCACATAGAAATTATAAAATTGAAAATATGAAATCGTGATTTATGAAATAATGAAGTATTTATGATTTAAAGGGTATCAAAATTTACAAAAGAAAAGAGCTTAATATTTATATGTTTACTTTATTAAACATTTCTTTCAATGTGAGTTGTTTGATTTGTTTTCTCTGCTAATACTTTAAGACTAATACTATAGACATATAATTTCTTGTTCAGTTATTAAGTTCCATTGTTCAAGTCCTGTAATTGCTGTGTCGAGAATTCCGAATAACTTGTCAATCAAAAATTTTTTCTCGTTCAGTAACCTGTCTGTTACTTTCTTCACTATTGGTAGCTGTATTTTCTAGATTTAGAACCATACTACAAATTTCGCCCTCCATTAATTGATTGATGATTGGACATTGTCATCGCAATGAAAAACTTCTGTTTAACTTTGCTAAAAATTCTGCTGCCTGGTGCGGCCATGCGAGCTCTGGCGCTGGTTCTGGCTTTATGTGAATAACAAATCAGTTATTCTTAATTCAAATAGCACTAAATATAATCGTTTGTCCTATGAGTATCATTAACAAAATCTATTTTTAGCATAAGGAAAGAAATTTCTGCTAAATCTCCCCTTGTCAACATTTTAGCGCATTAAACTTAAATCTGTAATCAGATAATACTCTTATTATTTGGCGTCGCTGCATGATTCATCACTCAAGTTGCCAACCCTTGATAAACATGCGGTGATAAAAGCAAAATACAATAAATAATGATTCACGATTTTCGCATCAAGGATATAAAATATTAGTTGGTGTAAAATTAGCAAATGTTTCGGTTGAGATTATGCCAAGCAGATACGCAGCTATGGAGTCAAGTTACTAATCACACAAATTTATGCTAAAATAATTATTTCTTCAATAATGAGATATTTTACTTAGCGCCAAACTGAGATTAAGAATCGGGATTTTCTGGACATGTTTTTTTATGATGAGGAAAAAAATCTAATGCGCGTGCGTAAAGCATACCCCTTCCCTTCAAGAAAAGCCCTAAAAAATTGGTTGGTTGGTGGTGGCTTTGAGGTCTGGATTTTAGGATCATTCCAGATATTGGATGTCCGGATCTCGGAACTTTGTACTGTATATATATATATATATATATATATATCTTTCAAAATATAACTTACCAGTATGGATTCACTCTTTTAAAATAATTCTACTTTAATTAAACTTAGGAGATAATATAATCAATTAATCAATATTGTCTTAGGAAATAAATTATATATATATAGTAAAAAATTATATTTTCACTATTCAAGTATTCACTGTGACAAGTATTCCCATCTTGTCACATGAACAGGCCTCTGTGGAAAGGGGCTTCTCTGTAAATAAAGCAATTGAAATTGAAAATTTAAGTGACTCATCATACATTTTTCAACGCACAAGTATTTGATTACATAAAATTTTCTGGAGGTGTTCTTAATATCGAAATTAATAAAGAAATGAGATCAGCAGGCAGCTTCTGCAAGAAGTGGAGTTTGTTATTTAGAAGTGTATTTAGAAGAACAAAAATCTTAACTAAATCTGAAAATTCAAAAGAGGAAAAGAAAGATTATTGAGGAAGAAATTGATTATATGAAGCAGAAGAGAAAAAAATTTCTTCAAAGGGACATTGAAGATATTAATGAAGAACTAGATGCTTTTAGCAGATGAAGCTGAGACCAGCAGGAACATTGATTTGTTTATCAAAGCAAATGAACTTAAGAAGAATAGCTAAAGAAAAGGAAATAGACATAAATAAATTAGATGTTAAAATAGCTGAAAAAGATTTCAGATTTAAAAAAAAGCACAAATGTTTTGTATTCTTTTATTGTACAGTTTAGTTATTCTAGTATCTTTCAAAAAACCAAAGGAAATAAATTGTATGTTTACAAATCAGTAATTTTAATCTGCAAAATATTCTTACATTATGATTATAATAGTAGTTGACTGTGTTTAAATAAATATCAAATAAGTTAAATAATAATCATGTAAATCTCTAAAATAGTGACTGTTATTAGTGTAAAATACACTTATACATGTTTTCAAGAAATTATGTTCCTAATTTAATGTTATCTACTTCATGACTTGTAGGGAGTTAGTTTAATTTTCAAAATTGTTTTATGGTAAGTATTAAATTGAATTTAATTAATAGTGCATAATACACACTTCTGTTAGTTTCTTAAAGTGAAATTACAAGCATGTAGTCGGTTTGTATGGATAATTGATTTATTCTATTCATTTTTTTTGTTTGCATGATAGGTCCTTAATTTTTTCTTTGATGGTCCTTAAAAGTCAATTTTTCATGTAAGGAAATGTGTACGAACCCTGTTGATATAATTTATGTTAAATTTAATTCTTAATTTTTATAAATATTTGCCACCCATGGTTAAATTAATAAGTGAAATTTCTAATACCTTATCTAATTAACTGAATTATCACCCTCTTCCCCCCAAAAAAGTCTTGCGTATCAGCAACAAAGTTCGTGAAAAGAAGCCAAAATGTATTTATTTCAATACAGTATATTATTTTAACCATTACACCAAATATAAGTTTTGTATTTATATGTAACGGAATTTAAGTTTTGTGTTTCAACTTCTAAGTAATTAAATATATCATTTAATCATTGATGTATAATACTGCTGTTTCATGAATTTAAATTAGCAAAATGTCTTTAATAAAATAATGCAAGAGATTACAATACTTATTTTGGGCAAAAGGGAGGTTTTTTCATGAACAGCAATACTTTTTTTTTTTTTTTATATTTAATTTGTTTACAAGGGTTATCTCATTTTGACTAAAGTACCTAATTTACCCTACATTAATGCAGATGTAACTGATTGAATCCTTTTATAAAATAAAGCAGCTTTTATGAAATTTATTTTGGGCATATCATTAGAACTGTGTTTAGAGAATATTTGTCTTTTATAAATATACAAACATTTTATGTTCTTAATAACAGTACACGAATATTACAATCAATATGTATTGCTAATTCATTGCCATTAGAAAAGGGAACTATTATAAATTAACATTAAACTTAATGTTATCCAAAAATGTAAAGTAAGTTTTAAAAGTGTTATAAATTTTTAAGTGATTACATCAAAAATGATTTAATGATGTATGTAAATGTGTAAACTCTTCATCAGTACATCCATTTCCTTAGCCATGCCATTATTGTTTTTTCCTTTGCAGATTATACAAAAGGTTTTTTGTACAAAATCTATTTGTTTTCATTGGTTTTGAAAATTGTCTCCTTGATTTTATGAGAACTATGTTTGAATTTTTCGTTAATGCTTCCTAATCATGGGTGATTTTTTTTTTCGGTATTGTGTAATTTTAGTTATTTTTTCATCTGACTGAAGTGCACCAAATGATGATGTAATAATTTATTAAACAGAATTACTTATTAAATACAATATCAACAGGTACAACAATCATTTGATCAGTCAATATAGAATGTAAAATAAAGCAGTAGTATACTAATATATAAATATAGGGAAAAATAATTTAATATTATAACACAAAATAATTTGTCTAAAAAGCAGATAGAAAATTATTGAATGTGTAGTATTCAAATGTATTTTTAATAAGAGGGCTAAGTTTGGAAATTAGATAATACAGGGTATTTCATATTAAATTGGACAAAAAGAAAGTATACCTGTGAAGTCTGTAATTATTTTGATAAATCAAATTTACAGTGAAACTATATTTATCCAAGTTTTTATGGATGTACTATGTGTGCCTTTCCGGTAACTTGGCAAATAAATATGCAGTATTCCAGTTCCTGCCACACTTATGATAGACTCATGACTCCTTTGTTAATGATTCAAGCATTCCGGTTATCCACTCCTTTAGTTGCTGTAAGTTGTGGGGAAATGCAGGCATGAACACTTTGTCTTTATCAAAACCCCACAGGAAAAAATCACGGGGGATTATTATCTGGAGATCTTAGTGGCTGACAAAGCAATGGCATATTATTTGACCCAGTACAGCCAGTTCAGTGATGGGGTAGACTATCGTTCAGGTCTTGGTGTACATTTTTATGTCAATGTGGTGGAGCTCCGTCTTGAACTGCTTCCTCCAGCTGAGGTAACAACCACGCTGATAGCATATCTTGGTAAATGAAGCTGTTAATTGTGATTTTCCCATGAAGGTTAGAAATGGTTCAGGAAACATTCACATTTGGAAAATTACTCTCATGTTCTATTATACCATGTGGATTTTTGGTGCCTCAGAATCATAAATTATGGTGATTAACTTTGCCAGAAACATGAGAAGTGGCTTCATCTGTAAACACAAATCTATTTGCGAAACTGTCTATCTCCAGTTTATCTTGCAAATTTTCACAAGGTTTACGCAACGGTTTATCGGAAGGTTTTAACGCCTGCACCATCTTATGGCTGGAACTGTGGATGTTTACATAAAACAGGCCACACCATTACATGGGAACATTAAGTTTAGAACTTGCATGACACAATATTGTGAGACTTTGTAAAAATATCTCACAAATTTTTTCTACCACTTTGATTTTGGCTGCTGTTCATACTGGGCTGATTTTCTTTACATAAGCAGTCTGTGTCCTGAAAGTGCTTCACTTGGCATTCGATTTTGTGACAACTACCATATTTCATGTGAAAATATCTTTGAATGATGATAAACGATAATGTTTAGTGTATTATAGAAAACAATACTCTTTCTTCTGCATAGATGGTGCCATTTTGATTAACAGTGCCTCTAGCAGCGATTTTGTAACCGGAAGATTTTTCATTGTTGCCAAATAAATCTTGTGTAATTGTAGTTTCAGAATTCATTTTTTATGCTTAATAAAACACAAAATGTGTTATGCTATTCTTTTTGTACCATTCAATATGTTTCATATTGAATGGTACAAAAAGAATAACCCTGTATAGAAATATTTGACATTTGGGGGGAAAATTATTTTAGTATGCTTGTTGTTGTATCCTAGCTATTGAATTCTTGTTGAAAGTTTCCAAATTGAGTAGTTTACTTACTGTAGTGTATGACCTCACCACGAAAAGTAAACTTCTAAGACTCTCTCTGGTTCATCCTTATTTTACAACAAAGATATTTATTGGAAATCAAGGTTGGAAAGCTATAATTTCCAATAACCAAACTAAGCAATCTTTCGGAATATAAATCTGAAATATTGATAACTTTTACAAATGGTAAAAAATTCAATATAAAGGTAAATTTAGTCTGTTCTTCATTTTTTAATGTACATATTTTTTTGCTTTGACATTTTTATAATTTTGAAATATTAAATTCTTTTACTTTCATATTACATTATAAATCAATAATTGTTTTGAAAATTTGAATTCATATCTACATTCTAATTTCATGCATTCTGATGTAATCTTTGCTGTCTCAACTCTGAAGTATATTATCAGTTCCTTTTTCAGTTTAATTTTGATCCTTGATAATCTATAATTTGACATATTGTTTTTCTAAATTTCTCTTTATTCCCAAATTCATTCAAAACAGTTGCCAACATCAATTAACCGGTCTTCGTTTTCCTGTCAATTTTATCAAATGTAAAATCAAATAATCATGTTGCTTTTGGGAATTTTATAGATCACAAAGTTAACACATTTACATTATCACTAAGTCAGCATAGATCATCTGATGCAATACCATGTATTCTATTTTGATATGTTTTGTAACAATCTGGTTTTAATATTTTAATTCCTATAGTATAAATAAATGACATGCATGTGTGTACAAGTACAGGTGTATATTATATCATACACTATGAGCATGATAAATCTGTTTCTATTCAAAATAGTATGTAATTATATCCTGGAAAAAGTTACATGAAATTTTAAAATATATTAAACTCAATTATTATTTGTAATTTCAGCTTCTTCGGTTTAGATTTATATGTTAGGAATTTTATTTTTTGTCCAGTAGAGCTATGTTGAATGTTCGTAATTGCACTATTATTAAAATTGTTTTAATTTACATGGCATTAAATAATATTATAAAGTATATGAATGTTTTATAATGTATCATAATTTTTTAAAGTATATTTAGCATAATTTCTCTTAATCTTTCTTTCATCTTTTTTCTTGAAAAGGTGCTGTGGACCCTAGACTGTACTGATGTCCAGAATGCAGTAAATGGAGAATCTGTTGAAAGTGTTGGATTTTTTGATAGGTGTGCATTTTAGAATTTTCATCATTTTTAAGATTTATTTGGCTTAGTGTATACCTGAACTAGAGGACGTTATTTATATTAATTTTTAAATACTTAATACTTTGTCTGCATTTTTAGTTCTCTCATCCAATTTTAACATGAAAGATGAAGCAAAGATATTTTTAAATGCTTTAAATATTAAATAATACTTTTAAAAAATAAAGATTTTATATGTTTTATTACTTTTTTTAGTCACCCTCATGCTGCAACTGGGACAAATTGTGGTAATTTAATTATTTGGGATATTCCATCTCAAGTTAAAAGATCTACATGTAAATTAGAGGTATTATTATTTCATATTATATATATTTCATTGTTGAAATAATATATATGTAATAAAAATTAGTTTTGGTGGTAGATGACAGTGTTGTGGAGTGATGCAACTTGATGCCTAAAGATGGTAGCTGCCATTGTGGCTAGTTTATCACTTTTTTTAAAGAAAATTGCTGACTTTACTTGCTTACGTCCCCCTTCAAAGAATCTTTATTGCTTTGCTTACATTTGCAGTCATCTGCAATGCTGTGAGCTTTAATCTAGTTGCCGTTTAAAATTGAGACAAAGGATCTGAGCTTATAAATACCCCCAGCTTCTCAACATGCAGCACTTTTCTCTTCCTGCAGTAGCTTTTGCAATCACATAATTAATTGCTTGGCAGTTTTCATCTATTGTCTAGAAATGTAATTTGTTTTGTGTAATATCATGGTGTGCAGATTGTATCCCTTGTGCTCTGTCGATCACGAAGATGTGCCTTATTGTATTAGTTGTCAAGAAATGATGATATGTTGTGATTATTCAGCTATTTGTGGTTTTTCCAGAGTTCCTGTCATCTATGTAACAGTTTCAGGCTGTTGTCTATCACCATCCCAACCACAACTGCTAAGGAAATGGTTTCATCATGTGCAAAATTATTATATATATATATATATGTAATTAGCATAGAATTACCTCAGTTTTTATTGAGTAATGTTTTTAAATCATGTTTTAGTAAAAGTTTTTTAACATACTAAATAATTCTGAATGTTGAAATTGTTGATTGGGTTTGTGACTTATTGCATCTTCACTATCTTCTCTAGTTTGTAAATTTTCACTTTCTAAATAAACACAATAAATATTTTTAAAATTTTTAGACTGAATTGATAATTATTTATGTGTTAATAATAGCCAGTTATGTGTTATTACCATTATGCAACTCTTTTAATGTTTTCAAGTTCATTGTGAATTTTTATTTGCATTTGATGTAAATTTTTGTAATCTTAAATTAATCATAAGTTTTGTCTATAAAACTTTATTTGAATATGTACCTTCAGTTTATTTTTTTTAATTAGTGGATAATGAAGCATACTTTTAATTTCATAAAAAGCAACACTTATATCTTTTCAAATATATTTCAGGTTGCAATTGTTAAACTCATATGTGATAAAAACTCTCATCTGATATACGTTGGATCAGCTAATGGAGAGCTTGAACTGTATGATGGACGAACAGGACACTGTGAAAAAAAATGGGCTGGTCATGAGCTTAGCATTTTAGATTTCACTTTATCAAGGTGTGTATAAATAGTCGGAAAAAGTCATTAATTTTTTTTTTTATTTTTCAAGATATGTATAAATTATGATAATTAAATATTTACAGTTTGCTTATCTCCTTAAACATAATGATGAGTATATTTTCTCAAGTGTTAAAAAATTTTAATGAATAATTAAGAAGCCATAAATCTTTTTAAATTTTTAATAGATTTTTTTCAGTGATTGTTAATTTCAACACCTATTCATGTGCTCAAAGTATATGAATGCTTACTTTGCATTCATAAAAAAATAATTTTGAAGTATTTAATAATTAGTTATGTGTGATTTATGCATTTCTTCACTTTGTGTACAGTCAAATGAAAATCTTTATTAATATTTTCGTAGGTAAAATACTTTAAAAGCAAATTTATCTTTAAATGAATTGCACAAAAATGGATAAGAAAATTCTGTGTAGTATTGACATACCATGTCCAAGAAGTCATGGAACTGTTGCTAAAAAAGTTTAAAAACTGACATACTTATAATTATTGCCTCTTCGAAATAGCTGCCTTGAAAATTGATATACAGTTTCTAGCATTTCTGAAGCTCATTGAAGCAGTTCAACATAGCATTTGCAGAATATGTTTGCAAGTTGCTCTGACACAACTATTTGGGTGACTGGAACATCTGCATGACGTTGTCCTTTCAGCACCAATTTTATCCTGGATAATGAAAAATAAGCATAAGATCTGTGTTAGATGTGAAATGTAGCAACACAGTTATCTGACAGTAGATCTGTAACTATTAAACCAACAAAGTAGTATGAGGTCTTGCATTATAGAAAGAACTACATCGCAAATAAATACCCATAACTGTTGTTGATAGCAATGATTAGTGTCCTGACATTTGTTTTTCAAAATCCATGTGTTTGACATCTGTTTATCAGATTGTTTCAATTTGTTTGACAAGAGAAATATAGATCCTTTGTGCCTTTTGCAATCTAAAAAGGCTTTAAAGCATAATTTTTCTTTTTGATCACAGCATGTGGCCTTTTCTGGATGATGATTGATTGACTACTTTTCCATTCACATGCTACTGCTCTGTTTGTGGATCATACTGCAGGTATCACGTTTCATATCCAGCAAGAACTCTTTCACAAAAATCAAAATTTGCATTTTGTGGCAAAACCAGACTGATAAACACAAGCTTTTTTTTTTTTTTTTTTTTTTTTGGTCACTGGTCGATATGCAGTATAGGAATGTGGTATTAGACTATCTCTTATATAAATCCTCTAAAAAAATGCCTTAATAGGTTGAATGACTGTTATGGTCAACTAGATTCAAGTTGTAATTAAGTATTCGAGCAGTGGTACAGGATTATAATAATCCATTTAGTGTTATGATTGTAAAATTTCATAACTTTTCCATTTCTGCAATATCTCAACAAATAGCCTATTTGATCCTCATTTTAACAGATTCATATCTTTTATGGAAATATGCTTACCACTCAAAAACTGTTGAATACTCTTGTGGTTTCATTCGTTTCTTTCAATATATGGTATGTATTTGTGGCTGTGTTGCCTAATTTCAAATTAAAAAAAAAAAAAAAAAATATTGGCTGTTGACATTTAGGCACTTTCATGTGTTGCTTCAGAAGTGTGCTATAAAGAATTATGGCTGCTTGCTTAATTTTATATTGCATCATTCTTTGTTACATCATCTTGGACAATCTCGTAGAACAGTTCATAATTTCATAGCATAATTTTCATGCATCTTTCTTTCATTACATCAGTCCAGAAACTTTTAATCATGGGTTGTAGTTTCATATATTAAGATAAAATATTTAAAGCATAATTTCATATTATTTTGAGCAAGTGCAAGAGTTCTTTCTCTTTTGTAGATGTGACGTGTGTTTAGATTATATTCGCTATCATCTGTGATATATGCTGAATGTCAGAAATTTTAATAGAGATAATAGAACATATAAAAGCATGCAGTTTAGCAGAGCAATTCATGCATTTAAAGGTTTAAAATGGCAGAAAAATAGAGAGCATATCAGGCGTTGTTTACTATACAAGGCAGTACTGCAGCTGTGACTTGCCATAGAATTTTAATGCATAGTAGAAGATATATTGATATATTGTTTTTGGTTTCAAGGATTCTAATATGGAGATGATGTACTGTGTATATTTTATTGTTTAATAACTGTGAATTGTGAGGTCATTTGCAATTACCTCACTGTAAAACTCCAATAACTTCAGAGTCATAATGTTGACCAAATCTCTTTATTGGCCTTCAAACATCAAGTTGGCTGAGGAATGGCAACACAACTTGGCAAACCTCTAGCTTCAGAAGTGGATCTCAAAGAAACTCAGCGATGTTGGAACTCTAGTAATTCCAGCAATCTTGAAACTCCAAATGCACGCTTAAAAAGCCTGACAAATTTGCATCTGCGCCGCTCCTCAGTTCAATGACAAGAAATACAGTTTGCATAACATCAAACATATCCCCAGCCTTGAAATCCCAAGGGGGTTCAAACAATAAACTGTAAATTATCAAACTGAATAGGCCTGAAAAATAAAAAAATTATAGTTTCTAATATCATGAATTGAATGATAAAGACATGCTTTGCTATAGGTCTCTTTATTTTGCCATAGGAAATGCATAAACTCATCACTCAAGCCCTGTCGTCCAGACCAGGATACACTTTAACAATTCTACCTAATGTCCAACATAGCAGAGATAGATTCTTGTTCTTAATAAGGATTTTATCACCAACTTTCAGATCTTGCTGCAACCTAGATAAATACTCACTACTCCATCACTTCCAGAAGTGTTGAAATAGCCTTTGCAAGTTTCTCCAACGATCACTGGAACTTATGGTTTCTTGAATTTGGTTAGGTTCTGGAAGAGTGCTTAAAGCTGCTCCTGTTAAGAAGTGTCCTTGTGTAATGGCCTCAATCAATGTGTTGCAATCACTTGAAGCTGGTACCAAAGGCCTAAAATTAAGACAGGATTCAATTTTGGTTATTAATGTCAAAAATTCCTCGTATGTTAAAATAAGTGTTCCTAAACATCTTAAGTGATGTTTCATGGACTTGATCCCCGCTTCCCAAAGTCCTCCAAAATGAGGTGCAGAGGGTGGATTAAATAACCACGTAATATCTTCCGAAGAAATGTAACCAAATTCTTCAGTAGATAAATAATCCTTTGTACGCTCTGCAGGTAACTTAGTACAATTATTTCTGAATCTCATACACTACACTAACACTCGACACAGCTTTAGCCACGATGAAAACTTTGAAAATACACTGGTCTCTTCAAATTTGAAAACATTTAAAATAAAACTTTTTTTTTTTTTCAGTTCTCTTGACATAACCTCATTTTATAATTCAACACTTAAATTTTGCCGTACAAGAATTATAGATTTGTTTAACCACTGCGGTCTGTTCATCCATAACTCGCACTGTAAGAATTCAGCTTGCTGAATCTTCGCAACCTGATTTGCTACAAAAGGTAGCCAATGGCGAGGCTTGCCAATGTAACCTGTGAGTCGGTCCATGTTTAAATACTCTTAATCAGCAGTTTTATGCATGATAATACTGCATGTAAGAGGTTGCTTAAAAGTAACACAGCACATAACTCTAGTCTTGGAAGAGACTGGGTTTTTAAGTGAGCTACTCTGGTTTTTGATGTCATAAGGCTAACCTTGACTGAAAAATCAGAGCTGATTGTTCTGTGTATTCTGCCCAATAAGCCTTTTCTGAAGTGTCACAAAAAGCATGAATTTCTGTAATTGTTGCCTTCGGACTCGAGACATACCTCGGAAGTTGCAAGCTTGATAGTAAGGGCGATTCTAAGTAGAAACGTTTCCACTTTGTACTTATTCTCTTGTCAACAATTTCATCCCAACCAAGCTGTAAACTCCACAACTCTTGTAGTAATATTTTCGTGTATATCCATTGTTAGAACTAACCATCCCATTCGATGAAAGATTTTGGCTACATCTGATAAATTAGTCCTCTCGATAAACTCTTTATCACTTATGCATTCTGAAAAATGAAATGTATCACTATAGGTATTCTAATTAATGCCCAATACCAGGCAGTCCTGTACGTAACTGTTACTAATCTAAATGTAATCTAGGGCTCACTAGGAAGTATTAATTGCCAAGTTGTATTTTCTAGGTGGACACTTTGTCTGAACATCTTTGCTACATTGGCACATACCTCAATTTTGTAAGTTCTGAACCGTAGAAGAATCGGAAACAGCCCTTGCTGAACTCTTGGCCCAACCAATCAAAAGATCATTTAATGAAAGTCTCTGTGTTGTTTTAACTGAAGCATTAAACGCGACTCTCAATTTAGTAGTAGTACTCAATTCCTTCAACATGTCATGATGAGGCATGTAATAGGCAGAATAATTAAAAATCTCTCCCTCAGGTACTCCTTCCATATGTCTTATCTCAAGGTATTCCTTAATGAAATCCTTTTTAAAAGTGAATTCTCTAAAATTAAATCTATGCATAGCTATCTGTTTCGAATCTCCAAGCTGAGAAGGCAGAGAATGAAACGATAATTTACGTTATATACGCCACTACGAGCATGTATGCCACTTTCCTCTCTCGTAAATGTAGATTTGAAGTAAACCTCACATGCTCTCTCCGTTTTGGTAATCATATCAAATGTAGGCACAGCACCCAGTTTCCAAAAATTAGACAGCAACAGCTCAGTTGTATATTATTCACACAGATAGTGGGATTAACCTCTGTTGAATTATTCAAACTACCCAAAATAATCCATCCTAATTCAGAACGAGAGGCTACTGGTTTATCTTCTTCGCATTTAATCGTTTGCCACATCAAAAGAGGTAAAGCGATATCTGCACCTAAAAGCATATCAACAGGCCCACTCTTGTAGAATGTTGGATCAGCCAACATTAAATCATTATATTTCTCAATTTACCTCTTATCTAATGTACGTAGCAATGTTCCAATAATTCTATTGATGATAAATAATGGTGTTGTAAATGACACTTTTGCTAAAAAATGCGGGACAAAATTTATTTCTGCAATTCCATTAGTTTTCTTATCCATTGACCCTAAACATGAAATAAAAACATTGGCATTGCTTCTCGGCAACCCTAGTCTCTGTACGCAATCTTTCTTCTGAAATCAGGCTTGCTTACAAGAAGTACAAGGATCAAGGAGGTTTCTGCATAAATGGTATTTACCAGATGAATCAAACACTTTAATCACAGCCACGCATGATAAAACTTCATACTGACAATTAAAGTCTGATAAACATGATTTAGTTACTGGACTAGAACTCATGGAATTCTCCTCTGACCTAACTGACTGAGTACGAGATTCGGGCTCAGGGCAAAATGGCTTAGCTGTCACCGATAATTCTTTCGAATTATTCGTCACATCTTTATATGGTTTTGGCTCAATTTGAGCTCTTTCAAAATGCCATAATGTGTGATAATTTTTAAAGCACTTTTTACACTTATGAATACTTCTACAATTGAAAGGTTTATGATTTGAAACTAAACAGTTAAAACAAACATTGTTTTTCTTGACAAAATTAACACGCTCTTGAACATTAAGATTTAAAATCTTGTTACATTTTAATACGGAATTACCGGCTTTCCAATACGTACACTGCGCAGGAATCTTTGAAGCCAGTAAGGTTAATATGTCTCTCACAGCTCATTTTTTGATACTGTGTGGCTTACCTGCTTGCAGAGCTCTGGCATGAGATTTTAAGAATTCTAGCAGGTCATTAAGTATTGGTATTTCCTCGTGTTTTAATTTTCTCACTTTACTCTAATTTCCTCATGCTTTCCAACCATCCTCTCGTACAAGAATCTTATTTAAATTGTACTATTATCATTAAAGTAGTATCTGCGAACTATTCTACTTTAAAACACAAATTCTCTAATGAATATGCACATTCTCTTATGGTGTCTACCAACACTATTAACTGACTGGGATTTTCAGTTTGTAAATTTTATAAATACAAGATTTTCTTTAATAACGATGAAAATAATTCGCTCTTAGGTGAAAATCTTTGACACAGTAAATTCCATGCAATTTCAAAATTTCTATCACTAATAGTTAAAGCTTGAACAATCCTTAAAGCATCTCCCTTTGAAGAGCCTTTTAAGTATTGCAGCTTTTGCGCACCCACTAACCTGTCATTATTTTTTATCGCCGTTTTAAGTAAATAAAAAAAATTATAACCAGATTTAGCTTCCACATTGATATCTTTAACATACTTAACATTAACTCTGGTTAGCATTTAAGTGTCCTGAATGTCTTGTTCTTTTATAAACACATCACTATCTTTCTTTTCACAAACTACAAAAATATTACTAAAAATATCTGAAATTTCAGTCATTACATTATTTAATCTGGATTCAAAAAGTTTTAACTGAGCATAATCAGCAGAGTTGTAACTCACTGTAATTTTCTCCTTTAGTATAGTTAATGGTAGCTTTAGCTACACACTTTTTCATCTTAAGGGTAGTAAATTCCATTATCTAATAAGAAAGGTACAGAAATATACTGACTCACCAATCTTCCTGAAGCTCTGGCTCGACGAACCAAAAACCATGCATATTCCATTGTTTAATAATAGTGGACTTGGATGACTTCTGATTACCTCTGTGTAGAACACCATTAACTTCAGAGTCATAATGTTGACGAAATCTCTTTATTGGCCTTCAAACATCAAGTTGGCTGAGGAGTGGCAACGGAACTCAGCAAACTACTAGCTTCAGAAGCGGATCTCAAAGAAACTCAGTGACGTTGGAACTCCAGTAATTCCCATCAACCCTGAAGCTCTAAAGTCAGTATGATGTCATTAGTTATGATATAACAATATCAGTGGTTCTGATAAAATTATGAAGCAAGCCATAAAAGAATGAACTAACTGCATCTGGCAGTCCAGGAACATGCAGAAACATTTTCAGTATTCAGAAATATAATCAATTTCCTACAATAATTTTCTCACATAGTTTGATTGGTGGATTCCACTGATGAGCTTTCTGCCGTACACTGAGGGAAGACAGTTAATACCTGTGCTTCTTTGCTTTCTCATTACAGAAGTAGTTGGAACAAACTGTAACAGGTGAGAAGTTGGTACTGTTCTATAAGCATTGAAGTGCAGTGGGATGGTTTGCAGAATTCTGACATTAAACCCTAAAGATTTTAAGTGTGTGATGGGATATAAAGAGAATAATCTTCTGGGATGTAACCAAATGATAAGTGCAGGCCTCTACTATCAGTAATTAAACAAATTGAGGGAACTGAAATTAAAACAGTCAGTTTTCTTCAATCCCCAAAACATTATTTTTTTATCTTGATAATGCCAGACCTCATTTTATTTTATCACTCGGGAAAAGTTTTGTTGGGATCAGTTACACAACTCGGGATGATCTGACCTTGTCGATATAGATTAGTATACCATTCAGTCACTACAAATTACTTAAGACCTGCAACTGTAACTCTTGAAATTCTTCAGTTGTCTACAAGGTTTTGGAAACAACCACTGAAACATCATCACATGAGATCACTTACAGCTTAGCCTTATTCAAGAAAATACTGCAGACATCAGCTGCAAAGAATAAATGCTGACACCTTTGTCAGTTTTGATGGTAAGGCCATCATTTCACATAAACCATCTGATTAAAAAAAAGGAAAAGGAAGGAACATGAAACTTTCACTGTCATTGAGGAAGTAAAAAACTTTGCAGCTCTGTCAACACATGAAATTCAGAAAATGCATATGGCTGTATTCGAGTATTATCAGTCAAGGTATCTTGTGTGTAAAATGTAGGTTTTTGCATTTGCAGCATTTTTCAGAACATCTACACCACGGTATTTTTTTAAATATGCATTATTATACTTCCAACTGCAGATGCAGTTAATTATTCTTTTATCTTATCTTATTATTTTTAAATTGCAACATAGAGCTTAAAGAAGGCTTAAAAATATTGTAATCATTTTGAATAAATTATTTCTGATTTGACAGTGCACATCTTTTGAATTCAGTTCTTGCAATTAGTTACACAATTCGCATGCTAAAATTATGCATGTTAAAATTAGGAAAATATCTTTCAGTTATTGGGAATCAAGACAGGAAATAAATGCCAGCTTTCAGTGGCTTTATTTGATGGTCAGTTACTTGACTTCTTCAAAGGAAAGTCAAAGATGAAGAGTGCTTTGTCTTGAAATAATTTGTTTTTAAAGATAATGCCAGTCGATTTAAGCTATATTAGAATTTGAAATGTGTCTTATATATTTAATATATTCATTGTCAAAGTTGGCAGTAGTCATTTAATTTATTATGTTGTGCATATTATGAATGCACATAATATTTTAAATAATTTTTATTAGTGTACTATGGATTACCTGTCATTTATATTAACTACTTTATGTAATGTTTTGAGGTTAAAATTTGTCCATAATGAAAAGGCTTAGACGAATGTGCATGACAAATGCAGGTGCCAGAGCTGTGTTGGCTGATTCTATGTTTAACCATGTGAACAAATAAAATAATATTGTAAATGCACATTACTATTGATGGAAGTGCAAAAAATAATGTAAGCATGAAATGAAAACCTCAGTTCAAGATACACATTGCACTGGAATAGTTTCGTATATACTAAGATACTGCACTGTAGACTGGACAAAGGAGACTGAAAAAGCAAGAAAATCTCACAGTAGGAGGAGAAGTAAATGATTGGCTAAGAGTAGAGAAAGTGCAACTGAAGTATCACAGGAAATGAAAGGATAGGGAACTTTTCCAGAACCATAAAATTTAGAAGGGATACCCAAAGCATACAGGTCAGGGAAAATTTTATGAGTTAAAAGAAGTAAGATATGTTGAAGAAAACAAACCAGGCTAATTAAGTGCATATAAATTTTGCTTAGCTCTTTCATGTTTAATTAATTATAGTAGTCAAAGTGTAAGTTAAGATTTTACTAGTTTTGTTAAAGGATTTCTTGGCAAGTTTCACAATAAATGTATGAATATGTTTTATATTTAACTACTGGTGAATAATAGCATTTCTTATGAACCACTTGCTTTGGCGAGTTATCTTAAGGTAATATTTTGAATAGTTAGTCTTTTAACATTGCTATATCAGGAATATCTCTAATGGAACAGGCATGAGTTAATATGGCATCCAACATGGTATTATGAATTGGTAATTTATCAAGATTAAACATCATTCAAAGAAATCAAGAGAAGAATCTTTTTTTTTTTTTTTTTTTTTTTTTTTTTTTTTTTTAAAGCTTTTCAAGTACTCTTTCACTAGCTGAGTATTAGAAAACATATTCCATTCACTTGTTATAATAATGTCACAAACATCAGTTTTATGTTAAATTACTCACTGTGAAACTTGCATCTATTAAATATTGTAAAATCCTCTGTGTTTTCGAGTATTTATTTTAACATAAGGATGTTAAGTTTTTATGTACTTTAGCTTTGATAAAGTTTTTTTTTTTTTTTTTTTTTCTTTTTTTGCCATAGGGATGGAGAGAAGATTTTGACATCTTCAGATGACTACTCTTGTAAAATTTTTAAAGTAAGGTAAAAGAAGGGGAAAGAAAAGAAACACTGTGTACATTTGTATTGTTAATAAAATATATTATACATTTACTCTTCTAGTGCGTATTGATTTTGATTATGCTTGTTATAGGAGAAACACTGAAATATTCCATTTTCAACAAAGGTGTGTTTTCTACATTAACAATTAACATTTTATTCAAGTTGCATAATATAAGAAATAAACAGAAATGCAAATTTAATTTAAAAAACGTTATATTATAAATTGTGTATTTTAAGAATGTGATAGTATTTCTTCATAAAGATTTATTTTAGAAGAGTGAAAGATATAGATAATTTTCTGGGTAATCATTAGATTATATCATAAATATCATTCAAATGTTTTGAAGCAAAAGCTAATTTTATTTTCAAAAAAAGAAAAAAAAAGAGATAAAAAAATACTAAAGAATAAATAAGAGATTTTTAAAGCAAATGAAATTTTAAAAAAATAGACAAAAAGCTGTTTTTATACAATTTTTAACTCGTGTAAAGATATTAAATAAACTTTTATATGCAATTTTCAGTTTCATGGATAGTAAAAGAATGCAATGTAAGTTGCATAATGTTGCATCACCCATAATCATAATTGAGTTTGGGAGCAAAATAAGCCTGCAAGAGAAACTGCTATTTCTGAATAAAATCTTGTGGAGTTTAATTGTTTTATAAAGTGACTATAAAGTATATCTAAATTGTATTACAAATGTGTTCCTATTGCTGATTATTTTTATGTCACATCTTTCAAGAAATATTATTTGCACTGTGGTTATTAATTTTGCCAAAATTTGATTATTCCTTTGCTGTCTGGTTAAAACATTCTTTTGTTGAATATGTGTCATTTGAATCTTCAGTTGCATGCATGAAGATTACAAGTATATTTATGATTATTATTGTTAAATACATATAAATTTCTATTTCCTTCTTTCAATCATTATTTTATTACTTCCTTGTATGAAGTAAAAGAAATATTGTAATTACGAAAATTTCTGATTCATATTTCAATGAAAATATCTTTTTTGATCGCTTATCGAATGCAATTTAACGATGTTTTTGCGTGACATCTGTATGTAAGGACAGAATAAAGGACTCTTGTTTCCTAAACAAATTATAAAACTGATTTAAAATGGATTCAGAAGAGATTTTTTCATGCTGTCTGTATGTATGCATGAATATATCTCGCATAACTCAAAAGTGAGTAACCTCAGAACATTGAATTTTTGTATATAGGACTGCTATAACCTGTAGTTGTGCACCTCCCTTTTTGGTTGCAATCAGCCACACCAAAAGTATATGTATATATATACCCACTCTGTTACTTGGCTCTGTGAGCTCAGTTTTTTTTTTTTTTTTTTTTATTCTTATAAGTTGGTAAATTGCACAGTTTTTGCTTTAAAAATGATAGACTTATCTTGTTCTTATCTTTCTCTTAAGATTTTTATGCCTTCAGTTAATCTGCAGAAAAAAATTGTAGAATTATCAACAGTTTAAAAGTTGTTTAAGTATGGCTAAGCCTAATTTTTGCTTAGCATTCATATTTGTGTACATTTGAAACTTAGCAGAATAGTTAATTCAGTTTCTGCACCTTCAGTGTCATTTTGTTGATTGGAACCAAAATTAAACTTTCATTTTTGTGCACCGAAAAATCTGACTTGTTGCCTGCTGGCCGAATTGCTTGTTTTTGCATAGAAACTCTTAATTTTAACTGTAAAAATTGTTTTTTTCATTGTTTTAACTGTATTTGGTGTTTTATTTTTTTTACCGTATATTTTTCAATCTTTAATGAAGACATTTTGGGGTTTTATGTATTTTTGCCTTGCCGCGAACTGAGAACAGAATTAATTGAATGAAAAATATATCCCTAATGAAAGAGGAAATCAGTTTAAATGAAATGCAGCAGAAAGTATGTACAATTTGTTATTCCGTACGAGGAAGTCATGTGGTGTATCAAACAGATACTCCACATGACGCATGTCATATCAGATTTTTTTTTAAATTAATCTGATCACAGTTGATGCTAATCTACTTTCATCTATCTGGAAATTGTTAAGATTAGATAAATCAGACTTTGCCACAATAGATAGTTCAGATGTATATATTATCCTGATTTACAGTGAAGATACAAGCACAGAAGCTTAATATACCGGCTCTACATCCAGAAAACTGACAATAAGAATTGACGAGCATAAGCCAACTAGTTCATCAATGAAAACAACACATCTTTGGTCAAATACTTTGCCCAGCATCCACACTCAATAATTGAATGGAATGAGGCCAAAATTGTTGCCAAACCCTGGCATGAAAACAGCCTTAAAATTAGAGAAATGTTGAAAATCTCCACCAAGCCATGTTGCAATAAAGACCTTCCTTTCAATCTTCCATAATCTACAAGTCAATTCTGAATAAAGCAACCATGTGGAAACCAATAAAAGACAGCAAAGTGATGATGAAACCATCTATTCTAGCTGTAGCTGTGAAGCAGATGGATCATGTGTGAAAGTTCCTGTACTTTATGTCTAAACATGGTTACAGCAATTACGACAAGTATTTTATATCATTGTTAACATCATTTTAACTGTGTTTGCTAGTTAATTTTAAAATTATGTTCATTTAAATTTTATGTTTAAATTCATTTAAATTTGAATATATATTCTTTTCTGAATTTGAGTAATCAAATTTGACTGTATATATTGAAATAGCAATCATCTTTTTTAAAAAGAGATAGAATCTAGAAATGTTGCAACAGCATTTGAAAAAAAAATGTCCAAAATTATTTGCCACAGTTGTACTGCAAGATTAGATTGAAATGTGCAGTAATTTAATATAGAAGTCAAACAAAAATCAGCATTATATTTTCACATGACTAGTTTTGGTGGTTTCATCGAACCATCACCCTCAACTGCAAAAGCACAAAATGAAATTAATGTAATGTAAAATTATTACTAAATTATAAAATAAAATGGCTGTAGCTGCATCTGCAGTTAATGAATGGTACTTCTAATGTTTTGAAACATTTTTAACTTGTTATTTATATTTATTTAGGATATAAATTTTATTATGTATTTAAAAAAAGGTGGCTACAGACTTTATTTTCTTTAATACTTAGTCTGGGCATATACTTCCAGTTACAGACTTTTCTTAAAAAAGGTTACAAAGATTTATGAAACTAAATTTCAGCACTTCAGTGAGAGGATTCTTAAGAATAAAATAGAACTTTTTAAACAGCTCCTTTTGAGAAAGACATTTCATTAGTGGTGTTCATTATGCTTTAAATAAATTAAATACGAAAAGTTTCACACTTTTATATGCGAAATTCATTGAATATTTAAATTTGACTTATATTACTCTTTAATGCCCTATGCTGAGCAAATCTTGAATGTTTTTCACTCATTTAAGGATAAAATGAAGGGAAAAACTGCTTTCGTTGGTTGTGGACAGAGTAAAACAACACGTTTTAGTAATTTGGGGCTCATTAAAATTACTTATCTTTATGTAGATTTTAATTACTAATTATATCCAACATCATGAATTTTACAAGTAAATGTATGGAACTTTATATTTAATTTCTTAAAGCTAATAAACATTTTATTATTATCCTTTATGCTCTGTAAAGGTTATATAAATAGTTGAAATTTTATATTTACAAAACTTTCTCTTCCTTCTCTCCAAGTCTGAAATTGTTTTTCATAAGATTATCTAATTTTGAGAAACTGTGTAGTTAAACTATATTTAAGGCAGGAAAGCTTGCAGTTTCCCTTTTCAAACAACCTATGCAATCAGATTCCTAATGCAATCAGATATCTCTCTCTTTAAGTATTTCTTCTTTAAATTCTTAAAATGTGTGATCAATCTGAACCAAATTCTGAATACTTACTGTTTAAAGCATTGTGAACAATATAAGCTACCTTGAAACCTAGCTATCTTATAACTTCATCCCTATTTGAACTTAAATTTTAGTTTTTCTGCACAGAGTGCTTTCCATTCTTGGTATGTGTAATGTTTATATTATCATGCAATATGTTGTATGTTCTCTTGTTAAAATGTTTGAAACATATTTCAGGGTTTTTCTAATCATTTTGAAGCCACTAAGTTGTAGTATCTGGTGAATAAAATGCGTCAAATAGGTTTTTTTACCCCAAAAGGACTATTAGTTTCCAAACAAGATTTTGCACTGTTTCACTTTTCATTTGAGGTTGTTGCCATATGGTAAAATGTAAGATATTATTCTTTTATATTTTATCTGTCTGTTATTAATTAACAAACTGAAATATTTAAAAGTAATAGATGTAATTAAGACTTTTTTAAAAATGCATGTGTAGAGTTGCCAACTCTTTCAATTTTGGTATGACACTTTCACTTTGCCCCTCCCCCTGGTACTCCAGCCAACCCCATTTACAACATATTTCTTCTGACTTTCTCTTATTAAAAATTCTCACGATTTTTATATAGCTTCACACTGTTATTTGCACACAAAAAGTGATTTTTGGTATTTGAAAGTGCTTGGTTTTTCCCTCCAGATTTTGAATAAAAGAAGACCAGAGTTGTTCATCAGTGAGACATTATGGCACACTTCTGCTTTATGTGTGAGAGTACAAAGCAGTCGACAACCCCGGTACACCCAACGGTATTGTGATTAGCCTCGCTGACTGCCGCGCCGAAGTGCCTGGAAGTTTGTAAATGTATAGTGTCTGTGTGGCATGGGGGCACTTTAAATATATGGCGAGCTGGAAGTCCTCTCGAGAGGTTGGTGGTAGGGAAAGAAGGGTAGGAGACCCTTGGACCCATCCCCTGATGTTCCTCTAAGAACTGAGTTAAATTGCACTGTCACCTAGAAGGTGCTCAAGGCTGTTGCCAACAACAGGCATAAAACTCATGCTTTTTGCGACGAGGAAGCTCGTGTGCTTGGCCTGACCATTAAGTCAGACAAGTGAGCAATAACAGAAGGTATTAAAAGTATTGCATGTAACGAACGACTAAATTGGATATTCTCATTGGAATATTTTATTTTAAAATTATATTGAAGAAATGAGGAACATATGAAAGTATCTCAGTATGAAGTT